CAAAATCTCATATTCGGTAGGAAATTTATCTCCAAGAGTAGTTTGATCTCCTGAACACGAATATCACGCCTGTTTGCCGCGAAAAAGCCTGACACGTGCATTACGGGCACCATGTTCATACATGGACGACTACTGCCCAAACCTGCAAGGAACTGCTCGAAATTTTTTCGTACAGGGAACTAACGGCAAAGTTGATAAATTAAGAAGTTAGAAGCTTTCTGGCTACATCTTCACGAAGCACAAAAGAAACAGACTCTCCGAGGAGCCGTTCCCACGACCTCTTGCTCGCGAGTTCGGGGCACTGCCACTGCGCTTCCTTGCTTTATAACTACGTTCAGAGAATCGTTTAGCAGATAAGGAAGGCAGTTCTGAGCTCAGCGCCTCGAGGCGACTTCAACGGTATACGACTCATTGCAAATGGCCGGACCGGCCTGATGACCTTCCCTCGTCAGTTTTTTTTCATGCAAACGTGCAGTTTGTGTGCGCGGTTGGTTTCCCACATGTGGGAAAGTAGAATGTTTGGAAAGCTATCTGAGGTTGTTTCCTCAAACGAGAACCAAGTACTAACTAAGTGGAAGTTAAACGGTCTAGCAACTCACCTATACATAATTGGCGAGGAGATGGCAAGAAGTCGATTCAGAGCCATTTGTAACAGGCTATAAATGGAAACAAACCAGAGTGATGAAAGAGAGCTGGCCTATTTTCCCACCGAAATAAGACGAAGTTACTGTGTCGGGAAGTCCCCTGGAATAAAAAAATATGTCATTTCTTCAAGTTGATACAGAACTCTCAACATTAAAAGGGACTTTTTCATACGTATGCAGTTAATATCTTTCATATAAATCAAACACAGTAACTAGACACTGAACCAATAAGTTCTTTTTGCAAAGATAAGCAAAACGAGAAAAGCGGTAAGCATACTAACATTTTCGGACGACGGAAACATTATTGTCATTATTTTTATTGTTATTTTTTGATTATTTTAGGGAGAATTATTTGATGAGGTTTACTATTAATCCCATTCAACAAGAATTCACAGAAAACAATTGCGTGGTTCCGTAGCCTGGGAGCTTTTTCAGACGAAATTGAGTACAAGTGGTGAAGCAGGTGACACAAAGAGGACGAAACCGCTGAAGGAACCGTTCTGTTCAAAGTAAGATTCCAGGATAATGTGGGAGGTCGAAGAATGGGAAATTTGCGCAGCGAAGATTCCACGATGAGAACGAAGAACGAAGTAGGGAAACTTAACTAGTGGACAGACAGGCGGCCCCCCTCAGGGTGCGGAACAACACACAACGCCTCAAAGGATATGCCCTCGGCGATCTAGCATGCCTTCCTTTTGGCGCAACTTGGCCCGGAACGCCCACCGACTATCTAATCACTCGCCGCAGGTCTATACGCGGCGAGTGATTAGATAGCAGAGAGAGCGCGTTGAAGAGGGCACAACGATGAGAGTCGCATCAATGCGGAAATCAGCGGACAAGGGGCCCATTTCTCGGGTTCCAGGTAGTTTCACATGGCTTCTTCTTCATACCTGCTTCACTGACCGTATCCAATAAGCTACCTTTTCGTCGTGAAATTTCGTTTTAAGGAGAACTTCTGAAAGATGAAGCGATAGTCAGTTTCTTGAATGATGGGAAGATTTTGAAGAGCAGAATTTAGTGGAGAAGTTATATTGCGAGCAGTCTCCACCCCTTCTAATATTGTTGTGGAAAATCATTATCTTTTCCCACAACTTTTTTCGCTTTGAGACGTTCTACAGTGCCCATCATGAATCATACTATGGCAAAAACTTGGCAACAACACACTCTATTGTTCACTCGGACAGAGTGAACGAGAAACTGTGTTCAATCCCAACTGTGGCAATTGGTAGCAGTCGCGTTTGTGGAGAAAGAGGCCGCGGCTTCGATTCTTTGCGAAGTACGCTATTCTGCTTTTTTTTCACTACATCTTTAAGAGTCTTCCGAATGACACTCCATCAGCGAATCCGTTTGGCGGTATCTATAGAAAGTTTGCGAGCAGCTCTTCTTATATTTACGCAAAACTTGTCTACGAGGGCTCATTGTGTCCGTGATGCTGTCACAAGGTATTTTCGTCGTCCATAGGCATTATATTCGTGTCAAGCAGATCAATCTGTCCATGAGCACGAGTTTCCAGCCAAATCTGTGCTTTTGAACTAATCAAAAGCCTACCAACTATTGCTTATGGGAGGTCAGAAAGTGATAGGAAATGGAATCGTCAATCACCTGTATCACCTGTCGTCCCGTTGATCATCGAATTGCTCGAGCGGGCGCCAGCAACGTCTCCATTCGTCCCTGTCGCGTGCAAGAGTTGTCCAGTGGACCCTCCTCGCTCGAGGGACACGATGTCCTTCATTCCTTTCGTTCAGAGCTTTCGTGAAGAAGTCTGACCATCGGGCCGGCGGTCGTCCAGGTGTTCGTTTGACGTCCCGAGGGATCCAGTCGGTAACCGCTCTGGTCCAACGGTCATCGCAAAATCGCATGACGTGTCCGGCCCACCTTATCTTCGATTCCTTGGCGAAAACGGCAGCGTCCCTGATCTTCGATCGTTGGCGTAGTTCGGCACTCCGGATTCCCCTCTGCACTTGCGTGTATAGGGTTACTCCTAGCATCGTCCTCTCGACAGCGCGTTGGATAACGCTGACCGCATGCTCGTCCTGCCTGCGCAGAGTCCAAGTCTCTGAGGCGTAGGTTAGGGCAGGAAGGAGGTGGGCACGGAGCCGGATGTTCTTCGTCTTCTTCACTACTCCCTCGATGTTCTTGTACGCTCCCCAAGCCGCTCGTTTCCTCCTGCTCAGCTCTGGAGCTAGATCGTTCATCATATTGATTTCCCGACCTAGGTACACGTAGCTGGAGCATTCGGTGATGTTCGTTCCGTTGAGCGTGAATGGGGCATCAGGAACCAATCCGTTTCTCATAAACATCGTCTTCGTTAGGTTCAGCTGTAGACCGACCTTACCACAGGCGCAGTCGAAATCAGCCAGCATTCGCTCCGCTTGCTCGATGTTCGGCGTTATAAGAACGATGTCGTCAGCAAAACGAAGGTGGTGTAGTTGCCGGCCGTCGACCTTCACTCCCATGTCTTCCCATTCCAGTTGACGCATGACGTTCTCGAGAGCGGCGCTGAAGAGTTTGGGCGAGATGGTGTCGCCCTGTCGGACCCCTCTCTTGACGTCGATGATGACCTCCTTGTAGAATGGTGAGATTCTGGTCGTAAAGTTGCTGTAGAGCTCACGAAGAATCTTGATGTACTGAGTAGGGACGCCCTGGTTGCCCAAGGCTTCGATGACCGCTTCTGTCTCCACAGAGTCGAAGGCCTTCTTCAAGTCGATGAACGTGAGACAAAGCGGCATCTTGTACTCTCGTGAAACTTCAATTACCTTGCATTCCGACAGGTAGCGCGTGAAGAGTCGAGCCAGAGTTTTGATGATAACTGCGGCGCATTCTTCAGATGTTCCGGTTTGACCCTGTCGAGACCGGGTGCTGTACGATTCTTCACCGACTTGATGGCGTGTCGGACTTCGGAAGAGAGAACTGAGGGGACGACGTATCCATCCTGTTGCAGTTGATAAGTAGGCAGATGGACATGGCTATCGAAGAGATCCGAGTAGAAGTCGTGGATGACTTTCTCCATTGCCCTTCGGGATGCAGTAACTGTTCCATCCGGACGTCGGAGGCAGGTCATCTTGGTCTTGTAGCTGGCAAAGCTTCGGCGGGCATTGCGGATGCTCCTCCCAGCCTCTGCTGCTTCAGCTAATACTGCTGCTCTTCGCTCCTTGAGATCTTCCTTTATCGCCTCTCTGCATAGCTTCGCAAGCTCGGACGTGAGTTGGTGATTGCCTGCAGCTCGTGCGGCTCCACGTTGGCGTATCAGCTCGAGAGTTTCCGTAGACAGACGTCCTTTGGTGACTTGCAAACTCTCTGCCTTCCTGCCACTCTCGTGAAGGTGTTCAACGAGCCGATGATATTCCTCGTCGATGTTCTCGATAACGGAATCCTCCCATAAGCTGACAAGAGAAGTGAAGTGATCCCAGTTGATGACTGTCCTGGGGCTTCGCTTCCTGAACTTTGAGGCTCTCTCAACACGCATCGAAAAGTGGAACTTTTGCGCGGAGGAGACGATGGTCCGATCCCGTGTAGAACTTCGGAACAACAGCGACGTCGGTCAGGCAAAACCTTCGATTGAAGATGATGTGGTCTATCTCGTTATGGAACTGTCCATCAGGTGACTCCCAAGTCCAACGAAGGTGAGAGGGCTTCTGGAACTGTGAGTTACCATGGATGGTGTTGGTCGACATGATAAACTCAGACAGTCTTTCGCCCTGCTCATTCCAATCCATTCCGTGAGTACCGATGTGAAGTTCTTCAGCCGTTCTTCTTGGGCCAATCTTGGCGTTGAAGTCGCCGACGATGACCTTGAAGAAGGTATGATCTTCCTTGTAGAACTTCTCCAATTCCATATAAAATGCTTCGTGTTCCTCCTCGTCGTAGCTGGATGTTGGTGCGTAGGCGACGAAGATTGTCAAAGCAGGAGTTGAACCACATCTTCTCAATCTCAAACGTCCGATTCGGGTCGTAAGGCTTTCGTACGAATCGATGTTTATGGCCAAGTGCGTGTTGACGAGGACACCCACACCGCCAACGCCTCTGCTGTCGCATGTTCCAAGGAACAGTTCTTCTCCAGTATCGAAAACGGCGTGTAGCGGGCGGTGCCTTCTCGTCTCGGTCAGTCCGATGACGTCGTACTTGATCTTCCTGGCCTGCATCATCAGATCTTCGATGTGAGCTTCGGATGCAAGCGTTCGTGCGTTGAAAGTACAGATCGCCATCTTAGTCCTTCTTCGTTTAGGCAGCCTATCCGGGCCCTGAGATTCTAGCAGCCTCTCCCGAGCGGTCCTACCCAACGCTGCCGTATTGGGGGCTCCCTCAGGTTCAGGGGAATGAGCCCATCCATTGCTGTTTTCGGCATATTGAAGGCACACGAGTAGCTTGCCAGGCTCTGTCGTGTGGGCTAGGATAGACCTCCAGGTAGTTAGCCACGCTATCCTGGAGCGGAACAAGGGGCTTATTTTTGGAGGCGGCCCCGAATCGCCTCCCATGTACTTCCCAGTCACTTGAATGCAAGCTTTTGGCTGTGCCGACATGCAGGATACCAACCGCACACACACAGAGCGCACCACACACGCAAGCATGCATGGATACACCTGTATGGAGACAGCTGGTATGAATCGACACAGCACTACAGAAACAGGGAGTCCATCCCCTGAATCCACCTGCGTCTCAGGGCAAGTACATGGTGGCTTTTGGTCCGCGATTTACCCCCTATCCGCCACCTGGGGTCGCGCCACGTAGCCTCGCCACCAACCGGCTCGAGATCTTTCAGTGAGAGAGGACCCTCAGTGAAAGAGATCCGTGGGAAGTGGATCGTACTCGAAAATAATGCCTTATAGGTCAAAAGGTGATGCAGCCAGGCAAGCCGAGCACTTTTTCCTTGTCCTTTTGTGACTAGATAAGTTGATTCCATCCCTTCCACTCAATACCGTCTTTAGGGATGGTTTCATGGATGAGTTCATGATGAGTGAAAGTGATATTTTCCACAATTTTTCGTGCTTGGGTTGAAATTCAGAAGCGGGAGTAGGGCCGGGAGTAGGGCCGGGTAGAACTCCATAGGGTTCGACTCGCTTTTTTGTATGATGCTTCCGGAGCGAGAACCTTTGACTTTTGCGCTACTGGTGCCATACGGAGCCATGAACAAGTATCGCTTGTTTATGTGGTTAAATTAGCTACCCAATTCCTTCAGATAACCCGTTCGCCCATGCGCTGGTAATTAACTGATGTCAGGAGTGTTTTCTTAGCATGTTTGAAAGGGCAATCCTCGGCAAGAGTTCGCTCACATCTTATTAGATACGTACCCGACCTGTACTGCGCATTGCCACTTCATAATTCCAATTAAGAGAAGTTTAGTCAGAAATAGGTGAGTCGATTTGAGCAGCAGCGTTGACGAAGGCCGTCCTTACATTCAATAACTTCAACTGGCCGGGTTGATACCAGTAAACATTATTGGTAAAAGCAAGGTAATGGTGTCGCGCCGCTTTGGGCGCCTCACTCTCCGCAGTCCGCTCGACGTATTGAGTTTCACTCGGAAGGACGGCGCCGGGGTCGCGTGAGACTTTGCATCGGAGGCTCATGCCGCGCCACCACTTTATCATGGGGGAACGATGTAGCCTACAATGTGCTGCATTGGCCTACGACTAAGCCTTGATCTTCGTACCGAGCGTTCCTGCATCCTACAGTGGAATCTATTAGCAGCTTACAGGCATCACAATCACTGCGTGCACATACACGCAACACCAGCAGACGTAGGAACATACGTCGCTGATGTAAACCGCTTGTGGCCTTCGTACACAACATAAGGGAATACAACGTAGATTCATGTGCCTAACTATTGAAACTAGGAATAGAAATAAAACCACAAAACACTGTAAACGACGGAAGTATAAAAACAACCTGTGGTATAGCTCTGTCACAGCAAGATCATTTTAACACGTTGACGACGAGATTTTTTTCCCTTGTCGCGCGCATGGGACGAGACGTTTTTTGCATGCAAAGCGCCGGTAACACAGGGCAAAACTTATTTTATAGCTCTGTAAAATCTCGAAATGCACAAAATGCCTTTGACTAGAGTACTCCAGACACGTTTAGAAACAAGGAAAAGTTGTTACTACTGAATGCTGGGTGAAATTTCAGTGACATCGCCTGGCATTTTCAAACCTCATGTTAGAATAGGTTCTGAAGGCGCAATTTCACGCATTCTTCATTTTTATTATTAATATGAGCTTTCCTTTAGATGGTACTGGTATCCTGATCACATCTGAAATCTTCTACGAATTTTTCACTCAAGAATGACGCAAAAAACTTTGCGTACCTGACGGAATGAGCTTTTGTTTGACTGTTATCTTGTTCTTCATGATCGAATAGGAGATTCAAACGAATCATTTCAAGGCAAAATTTGTTTGTGAAATATTTGGGCAGTTGATGGACTGGATAGGTACTTTTGTCCTGCCTATGAGTAAGACTGAGCCTACTTGACCATCATGGGAACCTAAGGCTAGAAATGGACATTCTACTGACGGTGACCTAATTAGTAAAGGTCGATATGAACAATTTTAGTGAGATTTCCAGTTTGCTGACGGTGGGAACTTTGTGGTTGTGATTCAATTGACAGCGCGTTTCTGCCACTGATAACTAATTCAGAATAAAACTCCCAGGAATTAGAAAGATCATAATTCGCAGACAAGTGTAGTAAGTTAGGACACTGAAGTAAACGTTGAAATAGAAAAGTCGCGGGTTCCATCTAAGTTTGCTTACTTTCAAGCTGTCGGTCACCATTGACCGACATCGTCCCATGTGACAGACTGCCTGTCGGTCAGCATTGACCGACATCGTCGCCAACGTGTTAAAGAGATGAGGGACTGTCTGAGGTTAAACGATCCATCCGCGTCAATGTCAGATTCCATTTCCATTTTCTTGACAGTTCGACTCGCGAGAGAATGACATACGAATATGGAACTATGAAGATGGGACCAGGCTCAAGTCGAAAACGTCTAAACTGTCTGGCTGGCGAGTACTCTGCTCTGGCACTCTTCAGGAATCTTGATAGCACGGAATGCTCCCAACCCTGCCTGGACTGTTGCCTTAACTGAAGTCGTACGGAAATCACAATACATGGCTTCAATAGTTGCTGAACAGTTTTAGCTGAATCTATGCCCCTCTGTTATAGTGGCAGCGTGCAATGCTCGCTAATGAACCCCCTTAGCTAATTTGATGGAATCTACAGTTCTAAACCATGTGTGTCCAAAACATCGAAGCACAGTTTTTTAGAACCTGACGAGATGATTTATCAGGTACAAAGATCACCGAAGGAACTTCACTCTGAATGCAGTCATAAGAGTGGGCGGTTTGTGAAAGATTGTCCGTGCGAGCGTCGATTTTCTCGAAAACCGTGTGCAGGCATTGTAAAGGCCGATTGCTTCGATTACGAGCGATATAGTATCAAGTCATCAAGCATCGCTTGTTATTGGCAGCATTGTTGCTTGGTAAAATAACATCTCCAGCTGAGGTTGTGTCGAACCATCTACTCTGTGCATAGGATAGTGGCCCATGAACACCACACTTGTGCCAATGTCGCGACTCGGAAGGGCACGACAGCGGTTCTAGGGGGTAACAGCTAACGCTAAGCAGAGCTAACGCGAGCCAGGCCAATGGACGAGATTACGTCCGTGCACGCAGTCGCGTGCAGGTAACGTAGATACGTACGTAACGAATTCATCTCAATTGCGGATTATGTGGCGTCAGGAGGCAGGCACTCAGGACGGTAGTAAAGTCCCCTAAATAGCCAGTCTATAGCTGGCCAATAGGTCACGTTGATCTCGCCTTCGTCGGCACTCAAAAAGCATGGGGAAAGGGCGGAAATTCACGCTGACCTCCCGCAGAGGGCGAGGTCTATACCACATGTTAAGTGGCGAACGTATTAGGTGGCACCTAGCCTAGGCGGCGAACCCGGCAGAGAAAGGGGAAAGTGCGTGGAGATTGCAGAGACGCAGAGGGTCATGCAGAGGGCGACTAAAATATGTACCCCTGAGTACATTTTAGTCGCCGCCTATCTGCGTCTCTTCAATCCCCATGCACTTCCCCCTTTCTCTGCACGTCATGCATTGGTCGCATTGAGCGTCTCTCCGTCCCTGCCATGCGCAGAGCGCAGGGAAGAAAGGGGTACGTGGAAGGTGTTGAGTGGAGGCAGCAAGAAAGCCACTGGAGCTATCGATAATATTGATAACTTTCTGCCAATAAGGTGATCAGCTGTCCCCCGCAGTGTTCCACTTATTGATCGTGTTATAGCTCCTTCCTTGGTCCCGGGAGCATTTCACTACTGTACAATCATATGATCCTAGGTTACAAACACGTCGATTGGCGCAGTGGGTTCGTTCCTTGTTGACATTGGATCGCTCGCGGGATCAGTTCTCCATGATACTGGATGTTTTGCAACCCTCATAGGATTACTACCTTGCTTTCTACAATTCTTTCGAAGTAACACAGCAATGCTTTGTGGTGCAGTGGCAAACGTCGCGCTCATGGGCGCTGCATTACATGGTTCAAGTCCATGGCGACGCGACTTTTGCTAGGAATGTAGTGAAGTCGCCATTCAGAGCGGGGTCATCTGGCTGTCTCGCCTTTCATTATTCACCGTTTACGGCCGTAGTTCACCACCTTTAACTCCCAGTCTATGGCACTTTACTACCGTCCCAGGGAACTTGCCCGGAGCGACCCATTCTCAGTTTGATTGGGAAAAGAGGAAGTTCTCGTTTGATAGCTTCATCGCGACCGTTTTGTTCTTTTTTTTCATTTTCAGACAACTCCATGTCCACGTTGACCGCTGTTACGCAATAATTTAAATCTGGACTGTTTTAAGTGTAAAATGAAGCGCCATTCTCTCTAATTTGATAATTCTTTTTGCCTAAGAACGATAGATTGGTTTAGTTTGAAGACAAGCCCCGGGATGGATCTGGTGATAGAAGCACTTCGTAGTGATGACTGAGCTGCGGAACGACCTGAAAGTGGGAAAGGAAAGCAAGAGAAATCTTTGGGAACGCTGAAATTAAGGCCTTAACCTTCAATAAGGTCGGATGTGGTACGATGGCGAGACAGGGCGATCAAAGAAGACAAAACACGCGAGAGATCACGCGTTCGAGAGAGCACGCTGATCTCACATCGAGGTGGGTGGGAAGCGTTGCAACGGGGTCGATGGTTGCAGGCCCGTAAGGATTAGCGCCCTAACCGCGCAATTTTTGCGACGAAGCTGGAGTGATCTAGGTAGGTACGGACCTTACAATTTCCCTCGCGGTATCCTTCCCACGAGTCGGGCTATTACCGGGGGTTAGGACGCTAATCGTTAAGGGGCGGCCCTTATTGCAACGCTTCCCACCTACTGCATCGATGTGGGGATCAGCGCTCTCTCGCGTGTTCTGTCTATTCTGATCGCTCTGTCTCGCCGCTCGTACTACATCCGACCTTACTGGAGGTCAAGGCCTTAATTTCAGCGTTTCCGATGGTTTCTCTTGCTTTCTTTTCCACTTTTGTCATTTGCAGCTTATCCATCACTATGGTGCGCTCTTATACACCAGTTTTATCCCGGAGTTTGCCTTTAAGTATTTTTAAAACAGAAATGTCGGGCATTCAGCGAAGTGCTTCGTTGTAAAAGTTTATAATAAATATTCACTGAGTAGAAGCAGGATCGTTTTAGCTACAATGTACGTTCGAGACTCACAGTATCGCAGTCGAAGCACACCATAATGAGAAAATGAGCAGTTGACCAATGTCGGCGATCAAATGTGAAGCACAAATGTATCCGAAAGCATTGTGAAGGGATGGCGTGCGACAGATAAGCATGACAGCTGACACATTCAGCGTGATTCCAACAGCGCTAATCTGAATTACAAGTTAACAACGTAACAAGACTGCTGCATTTATTATATTTATGCCTCATCACGGGGCGATGTCTCACCGATTGAAGTAATCGTCAAGTACCCAAACTAACCTTGTTAGACGACTATATCCAAAACTTGAATGGTTTGATACGTTTGGGGCAATTCGGTCATAATAACCCATAATCTGATGAAATATAAATGGTCGAAACCCCGTTCGTAGGGGTGATTCGGCGCCGTGATGACAAATATGGACTTCGTTACTATTTGTTACTACTTCGTTACTACA